TATAATCAAAACTCCACAAATGTACTTTTAACTGTCTAGAGGGGGGATATAAGAAGCAACTCCAAGTATACCCCCCGACCACACTTCTCCCATTCCCCACACTTGCATGTTTATTGACAACCACCCAGATGGCTCTCAAGCCAAAAACACTTTCCATCAGGGTCATCATGGAATCCTTGCTTGTCCCTCAGGGCCAATGGCTCACTGGCTCCTATCAATTTCACATTCTTAACTTCTCTCCCAGGTAGCAGATCCTTTCTTTTAAACTTACAAAGTTTCAGCTAGGCTAATACAGTGGTTCAATGATTGACTGGTGGAGAGAACTCACCCGGCTTCCAGGCCAGAGCTCCCCAGAGCCACCAGCCACCCCTTTCCCCCCAACTGAATTAAGGATAGGCTCTCTCAGCTCTCCTCAGCTCTCTTCAGCCATGCTGCTGACTACCCATCCCCATGTTGTAATGACCGTGGTGATGTCAACAGCTAAGATTTATTCAGAGTTTTTATTCACCGGTAATTGCATTAGGAAAATAAAGGACGCATTAGCCAAGCTGGAGCTGATGAGAGATTCCAGCGCAGCAGGGTGAGCCCTGGTAAGGATGAAAGGAAACAGTAATGATGCTTACACACATACTAATTCAATAAGTAACATATTTATATTTCAAAGATGGAGACACTGAAGTTCAAGAAAGTGAACTTGCTCAACACCACAGGGACCCGTCTCCTCCTCACTGCCTTCGTAAGTGTCTTGTGCCAGCAATGATCATCTATGGTCTGGCTCTTTCTGCTCCGACAATGTGTGTAGTCTTCTCCGACCTCCCTGTGGCCATAGCCACTGAGCTTTTGTTCACACCATTTCTACTCCCTCTGGGAAGGCACTATGCTCTCTGCAAAATAGCAATGTATCTTTTAGAACGTCATCAACTTTCGCCTTTTGTGTATGGTGCCTCTCCTGGCTCCCTGGACTCAAGTTTCTCCTTTGCACTGAACATGCATGTGCCTCATTGCGCCTTGGAAATACTCCACGACTCTGGTTTACAAGGTTTTCCTGGCATGTTTCACAGAAGGCACACATAAGGCTTTCAGCTTTGAGTCACAAAGATACACGCTAGGTACGATGTCAATTTAATTGGACTTTCAATAAAAGAAGTGAATGCAAACTTACAGACATGTTGAATGTCGGGGCAGAAGAAAAGTTCATTTTCCACCTTTCTCATATATGCATGATCAAACAAACAAACAAATAAAAACCCCTCACTGAACACTACAGATGTTTCTACAGGCAATATATTTTGTTAATTATGACAGCTAAAAAAATTCTTGCATATACTTGCTGCTCAGAACAACCCAAGTAATGTAATTTCAGCAAACAATTTGAGGGGGAAAAAAACAGTAACAACAAAACTTCTTATATTTCTTGGTTCTTACAAGTTGGAGTCCTCAGAAAAATACAAGTTGGAGTGTCAAAAAAAAAGGAGAATTTGCTGGAAGGGATTAAGCAGAGGAGAGTACGAGTTGTGAATAAAGGTTTTGGTGATTTAGTGCTGTGGCTGTCACTCCAGTTTGTAGCCAATGACAACATGCCAGATTTTGGAACATGAAAGTGAAAACTCAAGCACCTCCAGGCCTGCTGGAGTGGTGGTTTTCAACCTGTGGGCTGCGACCCCTCTGCAGGGTCAAAGAACCTTTTGATGGGTCGCATGTCAGATCATATCCTGCATATCAGATATGTACATTATGATTTATACAGCAAAATTACAGTTATGAAGTAGCAACAACATGAGGAACTGTACTAAGAGTCACAGCATTAGGAAGGTTGGCCTTTCAGATCAAGCAAAGGCCCATTCAAAGACTCAGCAGCACATGACCCAGAAGAGACGTGGCTGCAAGATGCCTGACCTCAAATTCTTAATCCAACAGGAAGAGGAAAGGCACTAGAACAGAGGTGCTGATGGGATCAGGGCAGCTCCTTTCCATTGTGAGGGAATTCTCTCGATGAATGCTATAGCTGCCGATGTCTGACATTAAAGTTATATCCAGAGCTTACTCCGTTCTAAGCTGAGAAGCTAGGATGAGCCTGTCTATGAAGTTCAGATCTGTGTCTTCCAGTGAAGTACAACAGTGCACCTGGGGTGGCCTGGAGAAAGTGGGTAAAGAGGGTAAAAACAGCTCCACACGGAACCATACAAGGGACTCTCTGAGCTGTGAGGCAAAGAAGTAACTAGTCAAGTGTAGATCCAGATGACCCATTCCGCACATGGCTGTGCCTTGTTTGCTATACAAGGATTATGGTGCAATCCTATGTGCAGAAGTGTATCTGGGAGTCCCTTTCCCCAAGAGCTCCAGGAGTTACAGGCCAGGCAGGACTCTGAGTTAAAAGAGAAACCTTAAACACTTTCCTGTGAGAGAAGAAACTAATAAGCCAGTACTATCCTGGACCAGCAAGGCCACTGTGATGCTGGTTTGTACGGTAAGAGACAGCATCTGTCACGATTCAGGTTTTTAAGAATGAAGAAGCATCCCGTCTTTCACAGCACAGGAAGAAAGAGAGCCTTGGAAAGGACAGCCTCTTCAGGTAAGAATGGACTCAGAAAAGTCAGCATTTAGATCAATTAAGAGACATCCCTAAAAGGGAAGACCACAGTGTAAGCATACACTTCCCATATCAGGGACAGACACAGCTGAAATGCATAGCCACACGCATACCACTGGGACGAGGGGCTCTGCCCTCCAACACTCTAAATCTACGTACAAGTTGAGCTCCCTCATCTGGAAACTCAAAATCCAAACTGCCAGAAAAATCATAAGCTTTGAGTATGTTCAAAAGTTTTGGGTTTTAGAGTAGTTTCTAATTAGGGGTGTTCAATCAGTGAAGTCTGTGCACACATTCCAAACTCCAAATTACCAGAAATCAGAAATTCATTGGTCCTAAACATTCTAGATCAGGGATGTTAGACCAGTAAGCAGGGAGGAAGGTTGGCCTGTTACTTAGATAATAGCTAGATGGACAGATGTGGGCAATTTCCAAACTCCACATTCCTAGAAAGGCAAAAGGAAAGTCAGTTTTCTGCTTTCTTGAACTGAAGACAGGCTCATGACTGGGAAAGAAAACAGTTCTCCTCAACTCTCCTCACCCAAGTTACCCAGGAGTGACCAGGCTGGACCAGATGTTATTCTAACTCAGGTCTGTCCAGCCTGAGAATTTCTCAGACTTTAGACTCTTTCAATGGGATCAGCAACAGGTGGGCGGGGATCAGAAAAAAAAGGTTCCTCCTGCTCTTCAGGACCAGACAAGGGTAATGGCAGGGCCTCCTTATCTCTCCAAGAACTGGCTCCAGGTAAGGCAAGAGTTGTGTCACAGCCAGAACTGCCCCTCTGGGAAATAGCAAATGCCTAATCAAATTGAACAGATGAGAACCTTAGTATTTAGCATGGCAAGACACAATGGCAGTGTCATAGAGACACTGTATTTCTCTTCAGCTTTATCTGTTATGTTGAGCACTTGGGATCATGGAGGACACAGTGTAAAGAGACTGAAAATGATTATCTGAACAATTATATCACAAAACAAGAAAAACAGCCGCATGCCTTGATGAATCCTACGTGATTTAGAGGCATCAGCATTGTTCAAATTGCATTAATGATATGATTTTAAAGCCTTCCAGATACACACACACACACACACACACACACCTGCATGTGTGAACATGTGATTTGTGGACTTACATATATGAAGGAGCACTCTAAAGTGCAAGGCATATCATAGCAAATTCAGAAAAAAAAATGACCAAGTTTTTAAAAGTACTTCACATCTGCATTTGTATGATACATAGCTACAGGTATCAGTGCATGGAAAGAACCATTTTCTTGTATTCTCTGAACAGCAGAGCACAGAGATTACAAAGTTCCAAATCTGATAGTTGGCATCCTGTTTATTTGACTGTTTCAAGCATGTTCATATGTGCACGCCAAACCAAATTTTGATTAAAAAACAAAAACAAAAAACCAAAGAATCTGTACTTAGACAGGGCAGAGAGCGTAGCTCTCTAAAGCCACACTAATGCTACTTTTTGTTCTGGACAAAAATGGGGATGAGGCATTTCATCCATTCTCCTTTCAATCACAGCTCGCCAGCTGTCTGCAAATGCATCCTGACCTCTCTCTCACGTACAACATCAGCCCCACCTCAACTCTCAACAAACTGTACCCCACCCACATCTATTCTGTCATATATATACATACATACATACACACACACATATATATATACTAAATATATGACATATACATATATATGATATATATCACATATATTACATATATACATATAATATATGTTACATATTACATATATTACATATACACATATTACATATGTGTAGTATATGTATTATATTACATACATATAGTATATATTACATACATGTTATATATATGTATATGTGTATATATATATATATGCTATAAATGAAAGGCTGGCTTTATATTAGTAGTAAATGTCAGCCAAACGATAAAAAATCAAAATGCCAAAGTTGTACAGATCTTTAAAAGCAGTCACTGTGAAATATGCTCACTTGGGTTATCTCTGCAACACAGATTCACATCTTATAAGTGGTAGGTGGAATATCTAACATAGGGGGAGCCTCTGGAAGGCTCTATAAGGAATGGAAGGCTCTGTAAGGAATACCAGTAGGCCCAGGTCTGGGTGAATGAAATGATAAAAATACAACTAGATAAATGGACAGAGACAAAGAGCCCCTTTGCAAGGCAGGGGCACAAGGCAATGCCTGAACATCCACACTGCAAAAGAATTCTGAGCCGCGCACTCATGGAACCCCCAAGAAGCCCCACCGAGGAACTACAGAAACAGAGACCCCCTGGCAAGGCACAAACTTTTCAAACTGCCATCAACAAACAAAATAACAGAGGCAACAGGGGCTCCAGCAGCCCCCAGTCTCTGGTAGAGAGCATTCCTGCTCCAGGGGAAGATCCCGCGTTTTTACCTTTGTGTGCGCCGAAGCCTGTTCCCACTCCTCAAATGAGGTAAAGTAAAGTTTGAGAGCACAGTCCAGAAATTGGGGTCAGACATATCCATTTCTTTCTTTCTTCAATTCACTGTGAGTTCAAGGCCATGGGATCAAAACGGAGATGGGGAGAAAAAAAAATAAAGGGAAAAAAATCCCAATTATCTACTCACTCCCTCCAGAGAAAACGTGCGATGAACTGTGGTCTCAGGAACAACTCGGAGCCTGACTGAGAATTACCCGTCCCGTGCTGGCCTTTAATTAATGCACAGCCATCTGAAAGGTTCAGGAAACTTACTTCCTCTTGTGTTTGCCCTCTCCTAGGAAGCCTTGGCCAGCTATAAACAGTAATTATAAGAGTTTAGCCTGCGTTCTGCTCAAAATGCTGTCTCCGTGTGATTCAGTCCAAGGTACTTTGTCATCTGTTTGGCAGATACCATTTGCAGCTCCTGGAGGGGTGGGGTGGTAGGAGGAGGACTATTTTAAGTCTATGGTTCCGGGAGGCTGTTGCTTATCAGCAAACCCATTCACATCCGAACATGCCCAGTGCGAAGCTTCCTTTTGGCGTCTACATACAAGGAAAAGAATTCGAACGCAAAAGCTGCTCTTGCCCTCCCCTTCTGAGGGGAAAAAAAACCCAACACCATGGAAACTTGAAAGCACTTTTAGAAAATTGACCTATGGGAGGACTTGAATCTGACACCTTTCTGTAGGATCCAGTTGGAAGAAGGGTGGCAGGGAGCTGGTTCAGCCCCCCCAGCTGGGCCTCCGGGGGAAAGAGAACGGCCCCCTGTTGTACTCTGCCCAGGAGCAGGCGCAGGGCTGGAGCATCCTCGCAGCTCCCCCATGCCAGGGTCTGGAATGGATCGTCCCTCAAAAATAAATAAATAAGTCCAGCTGCTGCACCGGAACACCAGTCTGTGCTGTGCACACCTGAAAGCGTGGGTGATTCACCATAGGATGAGGCACAATTGTGGCGCTCAGAGGGAAGTCCCCGATGACTCCGGAGGTGACGCTACCTGTTGTCTGGGAGAAGCATTCACAAGCCAAGCCACCACACTCACTAGAAAATCTCAATGACACAAAATTCACGAGTTTACATCCATTTGACGGATGACTACAGTGGACACCTGTTTGGCCTCATGGATTGGAAAGACGGATCTAGTTTATGTTCATCTACGACATGTAAATACTACTTGGCACTGATTTAGCAACGTGAATTCCTTTCCCTCCCAGTATGTTAAGGGTTTGATGGAAAGGAATACAGGAAAAGGATGAATCTGATTATTACTCATTTAGAAAAAAAAGTATGGTATTTAAATAACTCCCCAAACCACAAATGTTTGTTCAACAGTATATAACGAAAAAAAATCAGAATTTAAGTCAGTTACATTTAATTTAATATTATATCGAATATTATGAAGTCTTGTGATCCACAGAAATATTTTCTCACCCAAAGACTCCGAAAGGGTTTGATGATATCCCTATACAAGGCATTCATACACACAATCCCATTTGTGTCTAGAGTCTCCTCAGATCTTTGAGACTCATAGAAATAAAAGAAAATCATAGAACCCACCCAATTTTACACAGAAGAAACTGAGGCTTTGAGCAATAAGTGGCAAACAAACAAACCCCCAACATTTTCCAAGATCCTAAAAGCTCTAGTTTGATGTCTCTGCCCTCTCAATAACCATCCTTTGCCGGCTTTTTGGCTTTTGAATGTTTGAAGTACAGGCACCCTTCCGCATTGATAGCTTCAAGCATACTAAGACTAAAAAGATACAGTCAGGTATGGTGGTGCACACATGGATGCACAGCCCTCGGAGAAAGCTGAGACAAGCCACTGCTTGGGTTCCAGGACAGTCTGCTCTATATAGCAAGACCCTGGCTCAAGAATACAAAGCCAAAGAAATATCAATAACAACAAACCCTGCAAATAAAATTGTGTGACTAGTGAACATGTGTGGGCTCTTTTCTTGTTCTTGTTTCCCAAACAACGTGTTATAGCATCCATTGCCTCAGGATACACATTTTATTTTATATTGAACATTATCTGGAGATAGTTTGCCATGTGTGGGAAGATGTAGAATTCACATGCACATAATCTGTCATATAAAAATTTTTTTAAAAAAATTTTAAATGTGTCAGGCAGTGGTGGTGCACACCTTTAATCCCAGCACTTGGGAGGCAGAGGCAGGCGGATTTCTGAGTTCGAGGCCAGCCTGGTCTACAGAGTGAGTTCCAGGACAGCCAGGGCTACACAGAGAAACCCTGTCTCTAAAAACCTAAAAAGAGCTGGTACTTCCGGTTTGGGACCGAGCCTAGAGCAGGTCGCAGGCAGCAGCTCCGTACCCAACCGCAGAAAACCAAGAAAAACAGGGACTCCCAGGAACTTGAACTCACGCAGCATCCCAGGTAAAATTGAATCACCCGTGATGCCTGCTATTAGAAGTTCTAACCCAGATGGACCAGAAGCCAGGAGCCTCGCCCTTACCCTCACCCCCTACCTTTTCCCACCTGCACAAGGTCCCCTGAAGCTGGGCAACTGCAAGATCCTGCTTGGCAACTGCATATAGACTCAAAGCAGTGTACCATATCATCTGAAGAATAGCAGGGAGACCATAACTCAAGCAGTGTACCATATCTTCTGAAGAACTGCAGGTAGATCATAATTCAAAGCAGTGTACCATATAGACCATGACATGTTTCAAGGCACAGGCCAAGAAGATTTTGTACTTTTCCACCACCTGGACCCTCTTACCCCCTCCCCTTGTAAAACATGCTATAAAAAAGCATTTCATGTTCAAAAAAAAAAAAGAAATTAAAAAAAAACAAAAAACAAAAAACAAAAAACCTAAAAAGAAGGAAAAAATTTTTAAATGTACTTTATTTTATTTATGTTTGTGTGTGTGTGTGTGTGTGTATACAGTGTGCCTGTTTGTCTATATGTGCTCAGTGTGCATACAGGTACCCCCTAGTGGCCAAAGGAAGCCATCCTGTTTCCTGAAACAGAGATTACAGACAGTTGTGAACCACTAAATGTGGGTGCTGGGAACTCAATCTGCAAGAGCAGCAGGTGTTCTAAACTGCTGAGCCATCTCTCTAGCCCCATGTATAGGAGGCTTGAACATCACTGATCACTGGTCTCTGGGATCTTTTGAGATCCCAGGACGTAAATGTGTACCTCATGGATACCCAGAGATGACTGGCCACTCTAAACTGTGTAAAGTACACTGTAAAAAGTGTAAAGAACCCCATCCCGTAGTTGAGTTTCTCTCTAGTGACTCTGTAGCCTGGGTCATTCTTTGGTTTGGAGGCTTCCTTATACTTCGGAGGAAAAGTTTGGCAAAATCCCAGACTCTTTCCATTAGGTGCCAATCAAAAAATGGGTGCATACATTGCCAATGCCTTTTTGCTGGGAGTCACCGTTCTAGAGAGTGTCTCCCTCTGAGAAAGGCGTCATATTGTCTTTGATTATGGTCTCAACACTTAATCTAACCTTAAGCAAATCACTTAATCGCTATCCATTTTCCCTAATTATAATATAGGTCCATAACAGAACCAACCTCTGGGAGTCGGCATATGAAAATGAAAATGAGATGACCCATATAAAACCCCTCCATGTAATGTCTGTAGTGAGTCAGTGCTGACAATATGCAGAATCTAAAAGAATGTTTCACTCAATGATGTAATCCTGGAGCAAAGGGCATTCCAGAATGCTCTGTATCCTCCAGTGCCCTGAAAAGTGGGTCTCCCCAGATAGCAGCCACACAGTATTTACTTGGCTACTTACTGCTGACTTCCCTGTGAGACTGAGTTTCTTAAGGCAAAGGCCAGATTATATTGATCTCTGTATTTCCAGAATGGAATAGCCCCAGACTTACACAGACATTTTAAAAGATGCTTTTTGAATAGACAGTTCCACTGTCCAAGTGTCTCCTCTTTGTCCTATGACACAAAACTGACCAGAATGAAGAGATCCATCAACGCTCTCACAGAACCCTGAACTCTCAATATTCTTCTAACAATGTTATTTAAATTCTGAAGGCTTTCTCTTATGACTCTTTGTTACTAAGAGATGCAAGGATTTATGCAGTACAAACATTTCTTAGGCCCTAGCATGACTTCAGGAAATATCACAGGCAAACACAAGGAAAACTCCCTTTGAGTAACATCTCTACATTCCACAGACAAACCAAAGATTTTCTGAGCTTGTTGATGAAGAGGGGTACCATGGGCTGCCAGAGAAGAGCAATCAAGGTAGTGAGAGAGGATTTGAAATTGTGCTAAAAAAAAAAAAAAAAAAAAACCAAAAAACACCATGAATTCAGGTATCTCTCTCCTGAAAGTAGAGAGCACTTGAGGGATAAGAAATAGCTGACTGACCATGAATATTAAAAGGACTGTATGAAGGTAGGTTTACATCCACAGAGGGAAGCAGTGTGGGAAGGAGAGTCAAGTTTCCAAGAAGACTATTTAGTCACAAGTTGGAAGGTATACATAGGGTGAGAATTCAGCTCTGGATGGGTGTAAGTAAGACCTGATGTCTTTACTTCCCAACTCTCCTATTCTCCATAATCTTTCTAAAAAATTCATTTAGTTGGCATTGCCTGTGAACATGGGAACAACTAAAATGGGTACAATGATATGATCAAACCTTTATTTTTCCTCTTCACTGCCTCTACTTTCCATTTTAAAGAATACCTGAAATTTTCAGATACTAATAGCTATTGTTAAAGATTTTTTTAAATTATGTATGTAAAAGTATGAATGTGCATATATATACACAGGTATTTAAAGAGTCCAGAAGAGGGCCCTGGATCTGAAGTCACAGATCATTGTGAGCAACCCAGCATGGGTGCTGGGAATAAAATTCTGGTCCTCTGCAAGAGTGGTACATGCTCTTAAGTGCTGCCTGCCATCTCTCTGGCCCCAACACTAGTCATTTTAACTAAATATATTTGATTATTTTCACTGAAAAGGTTTAGGAAGATCTGGATTTATCCACACTGAAAACGTAAGACTAGGTAAAGTACACACACAGCTAGTGAATGAGACATTAGCTAATAGAGGGCAATCACTTGATAGATTCCCACACTCACTGATGATAAGAGTGGGCGTGACACTCAAGTGTAACCTGTCTTCTAACCTGTATGACTTGATTTAGTAACCTATGATTCAGAAGACAAGGCAGTCGGTAAACACAGGATTGAATTTGTCAGAATTACTGACATTTTCCTACAGACAAAATAATTATATAGACAGAAGAGGAAGCACAGTTGAGTAGCAACTGCCATAAAGCTACTGAATTAAGAAGAAACTGAGCC